ATCATCTAGGCTAAAATATATATTATATGTAATAATAATAATATAATTGTTTTACTACTTAAAATGTTGTGTGTGTCATGTTAAAAATGCTGTGGCGTGTAGACTGCACATCTTAGATGTATCTAAGGGAAACAGGGCCTCGATATAAATACACCACTGATTACAGGAGAATAATTAAAATGTATGTAGGAAAATGCTGAATATGTTTCGATATATTAAAATTGCTATAAAAACATCTTGTATGAAAAATATTGTAAATGTTCAAGTTTTTATTCAAAATGTAATCAATTCTAAAATCTCAAATATCGATAAATAGCTCAATAAGAGTCAAAATTATGTTAACTATTGTCTATTAAATAATGGTTTAAATATTTGGTGGAAATTTTAAATCTCTGCGGTTTTTTTCTGAATTACAAGAAAAATATGAAATCGACTTTTCCAAAACTACTGTTGCGTAAATATTATTGTTTTGCCGATAAATTTTTATAAAATGTTCATTTTCATCAAATGTCTATAAGAATATTAAACTACCCTCAAAATTGAAGACTGAACCAAATTACTGCTCCTAACGTAAACTGACAAAAAAAATAAATAATAAAAATATAAATGTTTAGGTCATGTATAAAATATACAAACACATAATTGTAAAACCAATACATTTATCGCTCTGCTCAAAATCTCAAATTTTTGATACTGTATCTAGTATTTAAATCATCGAAGTTTAAATTTAATATAAATATAAAATTTAAGTACCCACTTAATTTAAAAAAATAATTTTACATTCTAAGTCGAGAGACGAAAGTATTAGTTTTACAACTATGTTTTTTTTTCAGTTTTATATAACACTATAACAGTATATCTAAGTGTATTATTTAAACTTTAAAGATATCCTTGGGAGTAGTGAACATTATGTGTTAAACCCAATTTCTATGATTGTTACCTAATTCAGAAACTCAACATAAAACAAAAAATTAAATTATGCGAAAAAATCAAGTTAAAATACTTTTTTTAAATTAAGTTGGTTTGCAAAATGCTCATCACAACCCTAGAACTTAAACATAAATAAGGTTTCATTGATTTAATAAACATGCTAAGGCAATTTTACATATTACTATTTACTCATGCCTCAAGGTAACAAACAATTTTGTATTTTATTAATACGACTTAAACATGATGCATATATTCAATATATAAAATATGATTAATCTTCTATTATACATGAATACGAGGACCATGGGCGTGTCTACAAAAATATAATATCAATGTTTATTAAAGTTTTAAATATTTTTATTTATTAGATTTTACACAGAGCAAAAAATGTATGTTATTTTTTTTCAATCGTTTACGGTTATAACCTACATTTATTTATGACATAAATAGTAGCCTTGAAAATCGATTCTAGTTCATATTTTCTGTAGATATCATTTTTTTTAATTCGTACATTACTTTTTCTATACGTTAGAAAAACTACCAAAATATATCAAAAATGTTTTTTGAATTCACCTGTTAATTCTAAACTGTCAACTAATCATATTATACTTTAGCTATTATTTTACTCTGAGCCAAGCAATGAATATATTGATTTTTTAATTATGTGTAATTGTTATATCTATATACACGATATATAGTAGTAGAAAAATGCTTCAACATTCAACAGATCAACTTTGAGGGTGGTTTCTAATAAAAATAAACCTAGTTGGTACTTTTGGGAGGTCGAAAATTTAAAATTCCCAGTATTTTTCAAAATAATCGGGAAAAATAACAGATAAATGGGAATTTTGTTTTTTTATGAAGGTACCTACAAATCAAAAACAAACAACTGTATAGATACTAGATATTTTCACCAAATGTTTTTATAAGCATTTTATATACATAGTATGGTTCTCAAAATATGTTGACTCTTTTTTAACTATTTATAGACATTTTTGTTGTTTTTTTTAATTTTTTTTGGAAATATCAAAAAAAAAAATTGCTGGGTTGAAAACTTTGAAAATTTAATACCAGGTTCTTCAAAAGCTTTTACTATATCCACTTAAAAACATTAAAGAAACATTTCCATGATTTTTTTTTATAAGTATTTGAAGATACAAATGTTAAAAAATAAGTCAAAATCACGAAAATGTGCAAACTATTTTGTTGATAAGAATGTATAGACGTACTATAGTGTTCAATTTGTATAGATAAAGCTTGACAACTTAATATCATTAATAGTCCTTGATAATAGTTCATATTGGAATCAATAAATCTATTATATTATAAACTTGATTTTTTCGTTATGGAAATTCAAAGTTTAAATTAGGACGAAATTTTATATTTAAACAAAAAATAACAATGTTTTATCATCGAATTCAGAATTAAGTATTTAACACATAAATTAAAATGAGTAATGACCTACTCAATAAAAATGTACACTCAACAATTACACATCAGTGCGGTTACCTACTTTCCTCCTTTTTACTCTTATGTTTGTTGGTGAGCCCCCTATCGACTTTTGATATTTATAAATGGCAATCTAACTTTCATAATCTGAAACAGAATACTATTTTTAAAATGTTGATGTATATATAATACATAAATCAATTAATATTAAACGAAAAGTATTTCATTAATTTGTATTTGCTTAAAGTTTAGATGAGTGGTGAATCCAAAAATATGTAATCCACTATTCAAATTATATAACTGCTAACGCTTTTTATAAAAATCAAATCTATTGTTTACTAAAATACAATTTGTTTAATATACTTTAATCTTTATTTATTCATAAATATTTTAAAAATAGTATTCTACTTCACTACTTCAGGGAAACAAACCAAGTTATAATTTAAAAATAAAAATTGTATAGTAAACTCACCAAAAAAAGTAATAAAATTGAAAAAACGAGAGCACTATTATAGGTAAAATGTTTGTGTAACATCAACATGCATCTTACATTTACCAAAAAGTAAAATAAAATATTTTTCAAAATAAAGTGTTTATTGTTTAAAAAAACACTCTTTATAGGCTGATTAATGAGCATATATCCTAATAAGTCTATAAATAATCTTTAATTTTGGTTACTGTTTAATTAGACTTTTATATAATACACCAAAATATGCTTTACTATATTGTGTCATCCATGACTAAATAAACAGGCATGATCACCAAAAAACCTATTTTTCCTATCACTGCACATTTTCCCCAGACTTGGCAGAAACAGTAAAATTCCTATGTAATTGTAGTGGGAATAAAATTTTTTCTATGAGTTTTCTATGATATTAGTTTTTCTTCCAAGTCTGCGGAAGTATAAAATATGCGTGAAATAATCTAGTGATCATGCCTGTTTATTTAGTCATGGTGTCATCATAGGCCCAAATAGGAGGGAGGCTAGGGGCTTTAGCCCCCCTTAGTTTCTATAACTCCCTCAAAAACTAATGATTTCACTGCTATAATTTAAAAGCATCATAAGAGTTTCAAGTATAGACCTGAGCTTCAGCCCCCCCCCCCAAATTTCAAACACTATTTACGCCAATGTGTGTATATAAAGAGTACCTACTGCACAATTTACTAGATAACTAATAGGTAATGATTATAAAAATAGCTTTTTTTCTATGAATAAATTAGACTAAACAAATAAAACTCTGTTACTCAAATGATTAAAAAATTAAATTACGATTTATAATATTATACTTTGTAGTTTGTACCCACAAAATTTACAAAAATTAATTGGAAAATATAACTTAAAATGTTGCTAAATAGATCATTCTCACTTGTAATAGACAGGTAATATCCTTCATTAAATGCAAAAATATAATAATAAAGGAAGTCAATAAGCATTAAACAGAAAACATTATTAAATCATAAACAAAGCATGGACAAATAAAATCAGCCACATTTAGTTCAACATTTAAAAACAATTTAAATGTGTAGTTTTTATTATGGTAAATAACAAAAATTATGAGTTATTTGGTAAAACGGTGAATACCAGAATATTATCATGAGTTTATAATTAAAATGAGAATTTTTTTTATTTGCTGGCTATAAATGCTAGAAAAATAATAATAATATTTACCCCAGTGATCCTTGGCATGAATATGCTTTGATTATATAAATTTTAAAATTTAAAAGAATGGTAATTCAGTCATCAAATACTATAAAATTAGATTCATGATATATTTATTTTAATATTTACCAGTTGATATAACATTTATTGTTATTTACCATAACATATTTAAAAAAATTACAAACATTTACCTTGGAGTACGTAGAGTTATATTAGGTACAGTTTTACTTCGGATTACACAGGTATTCTTAACTGCCTCTGCACGTACAAAACGTACACTGAAATAGCATAAATACAAATAAAAAAGGTTATTGATTTTCATTAGTAACTAATCTTATTAAACCATTAACCAGATTATATAAACTATTTGTTTTTTTATTTGTATTTATATGGCTTCACTTACGGTATATGGCCTGTTAGTAGATTAGCTCTAGATAAAATCGACTTCACTTGGGCTGGTGACACATACTTCAATGATTCATTATTAACAGAAATTACTACATCGCCAATTTTTAGCCTGCGATCTTGTTCAGCAGCACCAAATAAGTTTTCAATTTCCAAACCCAAATGATCGCTACATGAACGTCTACGCAGATATATGCCCAATGGTGATGAGCCTTTAGTAAGTGTGATCTCTTGCACATCTTGTACATTATCTGTCTCATCCATTGAACATATTTGTTTAAAAGTCTCATCGGTTTTCTATTTATAATAACAATTTTATGAGATTGGATTCAATTTATAATTTTCATACATTTGTAAAAAAAATCAATGTTTGCCTAATGTATCACATAAAATGATAAGTAGTTTTTATTGATATTTCTTTTAGAGGACTCCTGAGTCTTGGTACAAAATAAACTTAATGAGCTAGACAAATTTAGAACTTGCCTTTACATCATCAAAAATGATAGGTGATTCAGGGCAACTGTACATTGAATAGCACTCTTCATCATCATCTTCATCATATCAATTTTTTTTCTTCTGAGCTATCATCCTAGAAAAATATAGAACTCAAGTATGGGCCTCTTCAATCACCAATATTTTATAAGGCCAATCTTATTTCATCTGATCTACATCCACAAAGTAGATACTAAAATTGTACTTCGATTTAGATGTATACCATTATTTCATTGAATTACTTTAACTGAAGAATTCAATTTCGTAATGTATAATGCCCAAATATAAACAACTTCAAAGTTCAAGACATATAAAACATATATCATAATGAAGTAATTATATATCATTATGAGTAGAAGGAGAAAGAATTGTTAGGAAGGAGCAACAAAAACACAAATGCGCCATCCATGAGCCACATTGCCTCTTGGGTAAGTTTAGTCTAACATTCGCACAATTTTTGAAAACCTATGGCAATGTAACCACGGTTTTAGAGTATTTGTGTTTTTATCGACTTGTGCAAATAACAAAAACACAGTTTTGTTTTCATTTTCTTCCAAAAATTGCATTTAATAAAAATAAAAAAACAATATAACAAAAGAAAGAAATCTTTATCTAAATAATTATACTAAACTTAAAAAACTTAAAGAGAAATAAAAATGTACTAAAAGTGTATACGAGCGGCGACATGGACTGGCAGTTGTGTTTTTCGCTTCAACTACATTTAACTTACTATGTAAATTTATAAGTATACATATATATTATAATGTTCCTAAAAAGTTTGAAAACCCTCAATTTGCATTGAAAATCACAGATGATGTTTAACAATATTAAATGTTTAGATTAATTTAGACAGAGAAGTGACTTCTATTATTATCATCGCAATGAGCTTATGTGATAACATCACAAAGGGCTTATGAACTTTCTAGATACTCAGTATACACATGTGTGATACATATCAATATATAATGCAATCATATTTATAGAAATAACCAAACACCCAAAATTATAACTTAATATTAATATTGCATTAATGTTTTAAAGAATACTTTGTTTGTAATAGTTTTTATCAATTAATAAGGCACATAAAATTATTTTATCAAAATAAATAAAATAAAATTGTTCAAGTGATATTAATAGTTTTTTAAGGCAAAGAAGAATGAAGAAGTGCATGAGTGCTCATAGAACAATATAGGACTTCTAATAAATTAGCACTTAATAAAATACGCTTCAATAATATTTATAAATCCTATCTCCTTTCAAAGTAAGCTCTATGAGTAATCTCGTTACATTTCTTCATTTTGATCCGTATTTTATTAAATCATAAACAACTTGTAGCTACCATTATTTTCTAACTACAACTAATTAGTGGTTATTTAAATTATTAAAAAAATAAAATGGACGGTTAAATTGTGACGATATCAGGAGAAAGAATTTTTTTAGAAATAATAAGTTGGTTCTTCTTATAATTCATAAGAAATGTATAAGGGTAAAGAATGAAATATGTTATTATTGTTTTAAAGAAATTATATATCGCCACAATCATTAAGGAATAATATAATTGAGTCAGAAGCTCTCCGACTTGAGCAGATTAGACGCCAACTGTTGAACAGATGACTCCTGGTCGACATCATTGTAGAATTCGCCGCGACGTTGCGTGAAAGATTCATCTGCGCGTGCCTGTTCCGAAGGTGAACTCACCTGACTGCTACTATCTGGTATGGGCAATGGCTTGGCAACAGCAATATGGACTACTCCTTTGGGAGCACCTTTCAAAGCTTGCACAGCTTGATCTAATGACGCGTTCTCCAAACAAATATCATTTACTCTAAGTAAACGATCTCCTGGTATCAAGCGACCATCATTTTGGGCTACTCCACCAGGTACTAATGAACGAATCACAATCACTGTTTCACTTGGGTTCAAGGGATCCTATAAAAGTTAAAAATTATATATTACAAAGAATTATCCAACTAGATAAAAGAATACATACTTGATAATCTAAAATTGAGAATCCAAGGCCACGTTCTCCTTTCATAAGCTCGATAAGTTGGGGCTGTGAAGACCACATAGCTAATCCAGTAAGAGGTTCAAGAGATCGAGAACGTAATCTACTAGATTCTGAACACCCTGCTGTTCCAGTACTAGCCAATGATCCATCTGATTTTGCTTTCACCAAACGATCAGTAGCAGGCATTAAATTTTGAAGACTACCGCCTAATGCATTCTATAAATAAACACAGGTATATAAATTAATTTAAGATACATACAGAAAGACTAATTTGTATTTTTTACTGTATTCTTACTTTGGCAGCAAAAGCAGCTCGATCTTCTGTTATGTCGGTAAGGTAATGGTGTGGCAATTGTTGTTCATCGGTGCGTCTAGCACAAATCATTCTGACATTAATAGGTAACTCTTTCAATATTGCTACCACTTCCATATGGTTTCTACCCAATAATCGGTGTCCATTTACTTCAAGCAACTCATCACCAGATTGAAGACTAGCATTTTTTCCCACTGGTCCTTCAGGTAAAACTGATCGTATGTAGTGATGTGGCCTCACTTCCATGCCATTTTCTACATCTACAGTACCTTCCAAACTTATACCTAGACCACCACCTTCACTAAATTTCTTCAACTGACCTACCTAATATAAATAAAACATACAATATAATTAACAAAAACATTTTGAAGCTATGTTTGAAGCTATTTAACTATAAAAATTAATTTAATTGTATTTTCTTAATTTAACTTACAACAATTTCTACATCATTCCCGACAACATCAATCCATTTATTTCTGATCTTTTTCAATGTTTCTGGTTTAAGCTCTCCATCAACTGAAGAATTTCCCACAGAATCAGTTTCTTCAACCATTTCATCTTCTACTTCACCAAGCATATCAGCCTCTACTGTTGCTCCTGATTCACCTTCTACTTCAATTTCTGCAGTACTTTCTCCATCCTTCAATTATAAAATACATTTTAAAGTTTAGTACAATAATAGTTAGTTTTATTTACAATTAAAGCTTACAGTTATTGGAAATCTAGGCAAAGACATTATAGATGGTGACGCAGTTGCACTATTTGTGTTTGGCTTCATTTCTGATGCTGCTATGGCTACTTGTAGCTGTTCAAATTTAGGGCCCCGTAGGTAACGTTCTAAACGCAATGTTACCATTTGACCCGTAGACCTCAAAACTTCAACTGCCTCATGATTAGTAAATCCTTGCAATGAAGTTCCATCAACTTCAACGATACGGTCATTCACCTGAATTTTTTTGCATAGGTCAGCTGCACTACCTTCACTGATGCTTTTCACAAATATACCAGATAATTCTTCTACATAAAAAAACAAAAAAACAATTAACATGCTTAAAAGTTAAAACTATAAAAAACAAACCAATACATACCTTTTTCACAAACATACCCTGCTATAGTTATTCCTAAACCATGAGTATCTTTTTTTAATTGCACACTAAACGAATCAGTTTCTGGGAGAGTAGTAATACTATCAGGTGGTACCATGTCCATTGTAAGAACAGGCAATGAGGCAGGTATAATATTTTCACTGATTATCAAATTGTTTTCCTAAAATAAAATTAATTATTAATGATAACACTAAATAAGATAAAATTATTTTTAAACATTTACATTTGTAATATTTTGGAAAAAATAATCAGGAGTATATGTTGCAACTTCTGGATACCCATGCTGAACTAAATGACGATCAAGCTCATCTGCATCTCCTAACATCTTTGTTGGTACAATTGGTGCTCTACAGCTTAAATTCTATAAAAATATAATAAAAATATAATGTTATTATACACCATTATTCAATAAATAAATCATATAATGTTATTATACACCATTATTCAATAAATAAATCATAACATCTAGGTAATTGGTATTATTATTATTTCTGTAACAGAATAGAATATATAATTTGTCAGCATCATAAGCGTAACTAGGGGGGAGGGCTAAGCCCCCCCAAAAAAAAAATTTTTAATAGCCCCCTCAAAATAAATTATTCAATTCTTTCATAAAATATTAACAAATCTTTAAAAATTAAACTGTATTTTTTTTTATTTTTTTTTGGAAAAAAATGTAATTATTTAATTTTTTCAATTTTTATTTAAACTTTTTTTTTATATTGCCTATGATAAAATATGGTAAATATCATAAGGTGTCTGTTTGTATTTGTTTTTAGAAAACAATTTATGTCGGTATGATATAAATTATTTTGCATTTGGTAAGATTATTACACACAATTTTGTAGTATACCTATGCACTGAACTATAATATAGAGATAGGTAATAACAGAATAAAAATCCCCTAAAAAAATCCCCGACCCCAGACTACAATATTACTGACAACCACATATCCACATGGCATTTTTAAAATATAATTAGTGTATAATTATTACTTTACTAATATTTAATTACAAATATATTATTATACTTATATAATATAAGTATACTTTTCATTAATAAAATGAATATATAATAAATGATATTCAAAAATTAACAATAATATTGTTTTGTTTTATATCACAATGTAAAACAACATATGTTAATAGTTCTTTTAAAAGATTACTGATTAGGTACCTACCTAAATGCATTAACTATTTGTTTAATAATAATTTATTTTATTAGTTGATGTTTCGATCATTCGAAATATTTTTATTTTATAATCTTTTAAATATTGGATCTACCTATATTAAGTAAAACTTGTAAATTCTACTTCTAATAATAATAATAATTATTATTATTTACATATCGTTAAAATATTATTAGGAAACGTAGATAATATTTTATTTAAGGATATATTATAATATATAATATTAAAAAGGTATTAAGCAAAAAATATTATTGTTAATGTTTGAAAATTATAATATACATATTAAAAAATAAGGTATCATTAAATACTTGATTTTTTTAAGTGAACTTAAAGTGTGGACACCAAAATGTCTGCCCTAGTTGCGCCACTGGTCAGCATCATTAATTAAAATGTTTAAGTAAATACAATTTTGTTGTTGTTATTGTAAATGTTATCCTAATTTATTCTTTAGTTATAAGAAAAAAATATTTTAGTCACAATTTAAGAAATTGTTTAATAAATTCTGGGCCTTTAAAGACTTACTAATTATTTTAATTACATAACTAACAATATGCAAAAATTTTATATGTATTAAATGAACATAATATGAAATATCTATAGAGTACAGTAGTTTGTTAATGAAAAGTTCAAACTTGATATTTTAATATATCAACTACATAATAATGTTGGAATAAAAAATGTTCTCTACACAAATTTCCAACTGAGGAAAATGAAATAATTATTTATTTTAAAATTAAACTATTCAAAATACTTTACTTGAATTATATCAATTGCACTAGATTCTATTGGACGAGCTACAACCAATCTAACTTGGCTCCCAGATTGTCGAAGCACAGATGCAACCTGTTCACTTCCCATTCCTCTTAAATTTACTTCGCCTATTTGTAGTATATGATCACCACTTTGTAATCGCCCATCCTAAGAATAATATTAGTTATAATATTTTAATTCAATTGAAAAATTATAATTATTTTTATACTCTATCAGCCACTCCTCCTGGAAGTATTGTCTTAACAACAACGCCGGTGCTACGACCACCTATAATACCAAATCCTAATCCAGATCCATCATTGAGCAGCTCAATTACTTCAACCTGAGCCCATTCTGTGTTCAACTGTAATGATAATATTATTTAATATTCAGTCAATTGATTTCTATATAGACTATAAATTATGAAACAATCATTTATTTTTACCATGTTACTAGAAGGTTGTGATGTTGGTAAAGGAGGTGGTGTAAGAGGGCGCGCTACGACCAACTGAACAAGCCCACGAGCCTGTTGCAGTATTCCAATAGCTTGCTGGTGAGACACATTTGTATCCAATGGTTGCCCATCGATAGCAATAATCTGGTCACCTTCATGAAGCCCTCCTTCTCTACATTTTTAAAAATAAAATTCAAATAGTTTAATAAAAATAACTAGGTTAAATGCATGTTATTTTGGAATATTTTAAATAGATGCTCGAATTAAAACTTTTATTATCATAAAAATATAGTATGATAAAAAATAATTGGCAATTATTACCTATACTTAAAATAAATAATAATATTTAAATTATAAGAATTATACATTCTTTGGTTAATGAATTAATCACCTTATGGGTGGGTTAGATGTCCCCAGCAGAGGTGAAATGCATGAACTTTAAAAGATAAATGTGATTAGTTCAACATACAGAACAAATAAGACAAATATAATTAAATTAATTATTAATTCTTGCCAATTCTTACCACTTGCAAGTATAAAGTATATTTATCAAATAAATACGAGTATAAATATTACCATTTCTTTGAAAAACCCTTCAATAGAAAAATTGTTATGCCCTTAAATGAAAATGCTTATTTTAACTATGGACGAGGCATGTCTAGAAAGTAAGTGTACTGAGACTCTTATGACCGTAGATAATATTTTTTTACTAAGTTGACTACACTGTCATATAGCTTTACTCCTTTCCTTTAAAACAAGACCAAAACTAGTTATGTAAGTTGAAAACTGTGGTCACAGGAATTTTTCTAGTGAAACATGTCGATTGAGTCTGCCGCCAAGTGCTAAATCCGTGCAGTCAACCGATAGTTTTTGGAAGGCTATAAGCTGGACGGTGATAATTTTCTCAACTCAATTGTTACTGGAAATGAAACTTGGGTTGCGCACTATATAATAGGCCTAAAACCAAGAAACAGTCCAAACAGTGGTGTCACACCACTTCACCCTCAACCAGAAAGTTCAAAACTAAAATTCCAGCAAAAAAAATCATGGCATCAGTGTTTTGGGACCACAAAGGCATCATATTGATTGAATATATACCTCAGGGGGAGACCATCAACGCAGCAAGATATTGTGATTTAAAAAAAATAGAAGACAGCGATTCAAAATAAAAGGAGGGGTCTGTTAACAAGCGGAGTCTGCCTTCGCAAGGCAAATGTCACGAAGCAATTGTTGGACTCATTTGGATGGGATGTTTTGAATCACCCCCCTTATTCACCCTGACCTGGTGCCATCAGATTACCGTTTGTTCACTTCCCTAAAGAAACACATGGGTAGAAAAAAATGTTAACCCAACAAAGGCAGTCGACAAGTGGACACTGGACAAAGGAGGTGGAGGTAGAGCTCTACAAAGCAGGCATCAAAAAATGATTCTGCCGTTTCACAACCTGTATTGTACTATGTAGAAAAGTAGCACACAAATATATTAATGTAACCAAGTAATTAATTTTTTTTTTTTAAATACATTTTTTTGAAGCTTACAAAAATTGAGTACACTTAATTTCTGGACATGCCTCGTACTATACACAATTATGTACAAAAAAAATAGGTGTATTAGGGTTGTTTTGTAAATTTTGACCAAGTCCCATATTTTTGACATAATAAATAATAATATCTATTACTACCATAATTAAAATATTTACATTTTTGAATTGTAGGTAAATTATTTGAATGTAAATTAAATATTAATTAATGATATAATATATAAAATACATTATATTTTTTTTTTTTTTGAACAAAAATTGTATTTACAATCTGTAATTACATGTAATGCAAATTACAATAAGTAAATGGGATGTGGGTTGATTAGCGGGAGGGGGAAGTCGCCCAATGGTAGCACCCCGAAAATTAATGATATTAAATACATTATTTTAAATAATTAAAAAAACATTAAAATAATTAACAATTGACAAGTTATTTACAAACACCAACCATTGAAATTTTAGGGTAAATACAAGATTAAAATAAATATAATATAAATAACAAGTTGACGTTATATTTGCACAGGCAGGCACAGCGAAATAATAAACATTTTTTAATTGATTTTTTTGATTTTTCAAGCATTTCACTAAAACGTAATTGAATTAGTTGATTCAAAACGATTGTAATAATAAATGTGGATTTTATTAAAGCACACAGCGGATTGATAATGATAAATGAGAGTTCCGAGACAAGGTAGGTATAACCTGTAATAGCCCCTAGGTATACCTATCCTATTATAATAATTGTTGCATATTGACTATTCGTTTAACATTGGATTTCGCGGGCGGCTTGCAAGCTTGTTCGCCGGGACCTACCGCCTGCCGATGCGTCGAGAAGAGTCCGTCGTCAACTGTGCACCATTCCTGTTTGGCGACGGCGGTAAACATGGGACTCGTAGTCGTCATTTTTTCGAGCGATTTATGTCGAGTTGTAGGCGACGGGCGGGCGCGACCGTGAATTCCTAACGAGTAACCGCGTAGACACGGCGACGATGTGTGCTCGGTTTGAACACGGTGTACATCATCCCGTGGTGTCTCACGACTGTTGTTTTCGAGTAGAAAATGACGTAAAAGTTCGTCGGATTGTAAGGAAATTCAGCAAGCGCGACGAGCGTATCGAACCCGAACGCGAAAGCGTAATGACTGGCAGCAGTTACCTCGACTTACCAATCCCTGCCCCGCCTGTCCACCCTCTAGGGACCGAGCGCAACCGACTACCGAGGGCCTGCGTCATGCGTGTGAAGTGTTTTTGTATATTATTGCGAGTACCGCGGCGGGTCGGGAGATCTATAAATACGCCGACGACGGCGGCGCCCGGTGGTTCCTTTTCCGTGCGCTACCAGCGACCAACCCCGACCCCCGTGCATAATATATACATAAAAAATGAATAAATATATGCGATTATATAATAAATATGGTATAACCTATGTAAGTACGCGAATAACAATAATTACGACTTTGTAATTTTTTTTTTTTTTCATATTGTCAACAGAAGCTTATTTTATTCCGCGGGTTCCGGGTTAAAATACCCATTTCGTCGCCGGACGGAACCCGAATTTTAAGCAGCATAATAATATACAGTTAATATTTTACGATTTTAAACTGGTAAATAATATTAGGTAATTAATTGCCAACAATTATCGATTAAATATTAATTGTTATATTGTGCAATATTATTATATTATCCGAACACCTACCTGTGCATTGTTTTTTTTTTATTATTTAAACGTCTTTTAAAAACGGAAAAAAATATTATGAAATCAAGAATAGATAGGTTATAATATATTTGTTTATAAATAAGACAATACGCGAAACTATGCAGATTGTCGAATGTTGACTAAATTATAATATTTTAATCTTGGCTTATATGTCATATAACTCATAAACATACATTTGGCATTTTTCCTAGGCAATAATAACAAGAAAAACAAGCTATAAGCCTATAACCAATGTCACCTTAGATATTTTTATTTATTTGTATTTAGAATGCTGAATAAATAGTATTTTATAAATTACTTCTAGCTACTATTACTACCTAGTTCTAAATAGTAAATAATGCAATACAATATTAATATTAAAATTAAATAACTAATATTATAGTATAAATAGTTATTAAAATAAACTCGTATGAAGTATATTTCAAATGAAATAATGCATATTAATGAAACATAACTATATTTTTTTAAACTTTTATTTGAAAAAAAATTCTCAAGTCTTCATCATTTCCATGAACTGTTTACTTTTTCTAAGCTTATTTTTTAATATAATCAATTCTATTATTACGTATTTATAAAATATAGGTATATTAATTAGGGTTGACATGGATGCCAAAACTATTGTTAATGTAGCTATACATAGCAAGTTGATTTTGAAGAGATTTTATATCCATTATATTATTTTCCTTATAATTCCTCATTTCCCATGGGTCCTGGTTACCTGAATGTCAATCCCATTTTTATATTTTCTTATGTTTCCGAAGGGAATTTAAAATTCCTAACAATACGTATCAGGCCGTTTTATTTTAATTAAATTAAATGTACCTATTTTATAATTTTTTTTAAATTTATTCAAGTAAAATTTAAGATAACATTCCAGTAAAATATTACTGCCTACTGGTCAAGAAATATTTAATACACATTTTTAAAATCTAATCCTTAAAGTCTAGCATAAAAGTATATGAGAAAATTATAAGAAAAATAGAATACAGTCTGTAAAGTGCAAATTAACATTCAACTTAATCTGTTATTTCCCCTATACATACATTATATGTATGTTCAGTGTTTACAAGTTTTTTTATTATTTAGTAGAACTATTTTTCTAAGTTATTTTGACTAATTAATGTAGCCTAAAATAATGTACTTATGTTTAAATTTTAAATAGGTCTTCAGTTAATTTTGAATTTAGAGTCATTAATAGATTATTATAAATGATTTTTAAAAAATAGATGTATCCATATCTCGTTGAGTGTTACTGCTTTTCCTGCTCATTGTAAAAAATATTACAGATTGTATATATTCAAATAGATGTTAAAAAAAAAAAAAAAGATATACCCAAATATGATATCGATAGACAATAATAATTATTAGAAAATACACATTGTACTGTGCAAACTCGTACAAGGAAAGTTAACAATATAAAATGTTCTTATAAATGTATATATTTAATGTTTATTCTAGCTTATCAAGAAAGTCTTAACACCAATTGAATGAACTGAGGCCAAGAATTTTTTTTTAATCAGACAAATTAAGTTATGAGTTTATGACAATACTACTATTTTGTAAAAAATACTTGCAATATTATGCATTTATACATTTTTTTAACTATAAACATAGAATGATACAATGTGAAGAACACATTTCAAATTATTTCTGAATAACAGTCATTGTTGAATCATTTAGTAACCAGTCAATAACTCAAAATTACACTCACATTCACCTAAAAGAAACTATACCTTTTAGTAAAATATATTTTTAATATTTATATAAGTTCAGGTTTTAATCAGTATCTATATATTTTCTCTACAACCTATAAAGTTTTAAATAACATAGTTGTAAAAAAATTGTTGTTATTTGCTTATAATAAATATAATTTAATTAATAATAATACATAATTTACCGTGCAGCAATTCCATTTTGTTGAATTTCTTGGACAAATATTCCGAGTTCTCCCTTTTCTTCACTTCTTAAGCCAACTACACTAAAACCCAAACTGCAACCTTCTGGCTTGTAGAGCTAAAAAAATACCCATTACTATAAATTATAATGTTTAAAAGTATAAATTAATAAAAAAACATTAGATATTCTAACAAATACAAACAATTAAAAAATGATTAGCATAATTAAGAACAGGGGCGTCATTTGGGGTATTGCAGGGTATGCCTATGCATACCTAAAATTATCAAGATGCAATGTGGCCCGACTATAATTTTTCTGCGCCTGGCAAAAATTATCCTTTTAGATTCTGAGTGAAACGATGAATGTATTGATTTTACAATGATGTGTGTTTATTTATTTTTTTTTTTTAAATTTTTTTTGTGTCTGTGTACACGATAAGTAGTCGAAATAATGCTTCGATTTTCAACTTCAGTATCTTATTCGATTGGAAAGTGAATATCGTTGGTGCATTGCGGGGAGGTCAAAATTTAAATTTCCCACTAGTTTTCAAAAGCGCCGGGAAAAACAAAAGAAAAATTAAGGAAAAACGGGAATTTTTACGCAAAATCTGTTTTCGAGAAAATCGATTTTGGATTTTGGTGTAACTTTAAAACAAATGACCGTAAACCGGTTTTCCAAAAAATCGATTTTGGTTTTTATTGTAACTCTAAAACAAATGAACGTATATACATGAAATTTTCAGTGGTTGTTTATATTTGCATTTTATATACACGATAACATTTTCTAAATATTTTGATTTATTTTGAACTGTTTAGGGACATTTTCATTTTCCATTTTTTTTTGGTTTTTTTTCTAAAAATATCAATAAAATTTTATTTGTTGGTTGCGAAAGCTTGAAAATTTAATAGAAGGCTCCTAGTATATTGTTTCAAAGGCAGATGAAAAATATTAAAAACCGTTAGTCACAGTCTTTTTTTTATAAGCATTTAAAGCTCAAAACTTGACAAAATATGGAAAAATCACGAAAATTAGCAAATTATTTTGAGTTAAGAATTCGTAAAAATTTTTCTTTTTAAATCTAAGATTTGAAAATCTTATACAAGATTACTCATAAGTTTGTCTACCTTTATCAATAAAAAAATCTCTACCGGAAAGTCAAATATTATGAGCGTTTGAAATACAAATTTTTACAACATTGGATTCAATTCACTTGATTTCTCATGTAGCGATTTTCTTATTTTGTTGTAATTCAAAAACGAATAACTTTAGATACATGAAAATTTCACTGAATGTTCATATTAGCATTTCCTATACACTGTACAATTTTGAAAATATTTCGACTCTTTTTGAGCTGTTTACGAATATTTTCAGTTTTCAATTTTTTTAGTTTTTTTTTTCTATAAATATCAATTAAGTTTTATCTGTTGGGCCAAAAAGTGTAAAAATTTAATACAAGGCTCCTGATATATTGTTACAATAGCAATTGAAAAATATTAAAAATCCATAGGCACAATTTTTTTTTATAAGCATTTAAACATCGAATTTTGACAAAATTTATCAAAATCTCGAAAATTATCAATCATTGTAATTACTAATTAATAAATTATAAAATGTTCAGTTTTTATAGCTAAGGATTGCAAATTTAAAACAAAGGTTCTCATAAATAGTTCATACTGTAAAAAACCAAAAAATCTAAAAAATATATGAACACAGCTATTTTTTACAGACATTTTAAATTCAAATTTGGACGAAATTACATATTAAAATCAATATTAACGATCTTTGTTTTTGTTGCAATTTAAAAATATTATTCGGGGATATATGAAACTGAAAAATCAAAATATTATGGCCTATCCATACAATCTACCATAGTATAAGGAATAAGAAGTATGCTCATGATAAGATTGTGCATATTTTAAGGAATTTATTCATAAATTCCATATAATTTAATACCATAGATATATATATAATGTCTTAAACCTAGACTGACATACCGTCTTCGCTCAGAATCGTTTTTCTTATACAATGATAATGTATCATTGAATTCAAATTTAATACCATCCATTATACAGTGACCCACTTGTAACCTACTGTACAGCAGAGCGACATCCACTTACCCACCTTTTTTTTTTATATATATATAATTGGTCTCGACATGTATCGGCATCTATCATTTATTAGTTAAAATTTTTTTTTCTAATAATTATAGTGTATATAATAATATATATTGGCCTGCTGAAAATTTTTTTGGCCTGCCCTGATGTTAGCATACCTTTCAAAAAGTTGAAATGACGCCCCTGATTAAGAATGTAATGGTTCAAGTATTGCTATTTGAATAATTAAAATTATAAAAAGGACTATTTATTTTCAATACATTTTCAATTTCGTAATAATTTTCAACACATACCTAATATTAATATCAAATAATAAACCATATTCAACTGTCTTCTAATAAATTAAATATCAACAATTTTAATTATGAAATTAAACTATTTATAAAAATAGAAATTTCCTTATGAAATATTTTAATAAAAAAATAATATTAAAAGTTTTAAAATATACTCAGTTAAATTAACTAACATTTAAAATATAAATATTTCGTTAATTACAAAAATATCAGTATGTACAATATTTTTAATTAATCTGATCACTCTCACGGGAGGCTGAAATTTAGCCAAAGTATTGTAACAAAATAGAAATTTACTGTCCTCCACTAACCTACCAAAACAAGTTCAATTTGTAGATCTTAGGGGATGATCAATTTAACATACAACACGTATTACAAAAGCTATTAACATTTATACAAACATTTTTTTTACATATTTAATGTCATTGAAAAACAATATTTTTTGTCTTCATAATTTATTAAGCTTTTAGTTATTTATAAGATCATGTAAATATATATGTTTATGTTAGTATGTATTAATGTAAATTGTATATGTATTCACACTCATCGCATGTACTTATTGTGCCTCATAGGTATAGATTGTATATTTCAAGTAAAAAAAAAAAAAAAAGTAATTTCTATAATAATTTCTATTTCTAATATCATATCCATAACAGAATACTTTTTCACAGTATTTTGTAACATAAAAATTTAATTTTAAAAAAGTAGTTCATTAGTTATAAGTATTTAAAGGTAAAAAAGGGGAAGTGGAGTGACACAGAATTTTAGTCCATTCATCCATACTTTAAATACTTGTTACTCAACTTATTATTAAAGTTCTATATATTTAAAACCTCAAGAAAATATCCAGTTTCTGAATATAAAAACATAAATGTGTGTAAAAAAAAGGTGCTCTGCTGTATAGTAGGTTACAAGTGGGTCACTGTATAATGGATTGTATTAAATTTGAATTCAATGATATAATATCATTGTATAAGAAAAACGATTTTGAGCGGAGATGGTATGTCAGTCTAGGTATAAGACATATTATATACATATCTATGGTATTAAAAAAAAATTTATCTATAATAGATAGGTACCTATAATAAATTCCAAATTAATCATATCACAATATCCATTAGGTACTTATAACGCGTTTTACATCAATAACAAACCGTGATACTATCATAGATATAATATAATAGTGTACTGTAGAAGTTTCAAGTACCCACGAATAATATTATACAATCACAACAAAATAACTAAAATAGTTATTCTAGGTTTGTTATTAGGGTAATTTTGTCCCAATTTGAACTTAAAATGACTATAAAAATAAACTGTCCTGTATTTTTTAGATTTTTTGGTAACAGAATTAACTATTTACGTGGAATCTTCTTTTAAATTTTCAATCCTAAGATATAAAAGATGAACATTTTATAAACTTTTAACTACAAAATAATTATTCAATTTTAAATTTGATAAATTTTGTTAAAATTAGATCTTTAAATACTTATAAATAAAAATTGTTCCTATGTATTTTTAATATTTTTCAACTGATATTGTAACAATATATCAGGAGCCTTGTATTAAGTTTTTACACTTTTTGGACCACCAGATAAAACTTTATTGATATTTATCGAATAAAAAACTAAAAAAATTGAAAACTGAAAATGTTCGTTAACCGCTCAAAAAGAGTCAAAATATTTTCAAAACTGTATAGTGTATAGTAAATGCTAATATAAATATTCATTGAAATTTTCATGTATCTACAGTTATTAGTTTTTGAATTACAACAAACTAAATAAATCTCTACATGAGAAATCGAGTGAATATCCAATGTTGTAAAAATTTGAATTTCAAACGCTCATAAAAATTTAATTTGACTTTCTTATAGACATTTATTTCTTGATATAGGTAGATAATCTTATAAGGAATCTTGTATTACATTTTAAAATCTTAGATTTAAAAAGAAAAATTTTTACGAATACCTAACTTAAAATAATTTGCTAATTTTCGTGAATTTTCCATATTTTGTCAATTTTTGGACTTTAAAGTTTAAATGCTTATAAAAAAAAAACTGTGACTGAGGATTTTTAATATTTTTCATCTGCCTTTGAAACAATATACTAGAAGCTCTCTATTAAATGTTCAAGCTTTTTTAACCAACTAATAAATTTTTATTGATATTCATAAAAAAAAAACTAATAATATTGGAAACTGAAAATGTCCCTAAACAGTTCAAAATAAATCAAAATATTATCGTGTATAGAAAATGCAAATATAAACAACCAGTGAAAATTTCACTTATCTACGGTCATTTGTTTTAAAGTTACACCAAAAACCAAAATCGATTTTCTCAAAAACAGATTTTGTGTAAAAATTCCCGTTTTTCCTTAATTTTTATTTTGTTTTTCACGCAGCTTTTGAAAACTACTGCGAAATTTTCACTTTTGACCCCCTCAAAGTACCAACTAGATTGACTGACCTATCAGAAAAGCTACTGAAGAAAATCCAAGCACTTTTACTGTCCTAAAAGGTGATGACACACAAAAAAAAAATGAAAAAAAAAAAAAACACATCATTATAAAATCAATACATTCATCGTTCCACTCAGAATCTAAAATTTTAAAAAATAATAATAATAATAGTAGATATATTTTTCTTAACAAAAATTTAAATTGTTAAACAAATTATGAGTTTCTTACAATAAACTGATTACCTTATTTATGAATTCATATATTAAATTATATAACTTTAATATTTAAATATTTAAAATTAAAAAAGATAATGAACCATTTTCCACGCAAAAAAAATATACACGGTATTTAAATATTCTGTAACAGGCTCTGGGAGAACATATTTTATTAAATTTGGTAAAATCTTCACTATTTTTTATTATTGTACCAGAAATGTAAAATAATTAAATTGTGTTTATTTAAAAAACTGAATAGGAAAATCAAATGATGTATGAATTTATCTCAAAAGATTGATTTCTTACTTAACCCTTAACATATGTACTAACTACAAACAAACAATTGTTTAAATTATAATTTAAGAGGACGCCCCACCCACATATGTTGTCTCCGCCTTACAAGTGCGTAACATAGCAAATTGTAAGCTCAGCAGGACACTTTTAGTTTAAAAATTAGAGTGAATTGACTTCTTATAAAATTTAAATGTAAGATTATTATCTAGGCAATTTCATAGGCTTTTTATTATATTTTAATTTTAATCAAGTTATGAGTATTTTAAATTGTAAATTATTTGTAGATCTTAAAATACTCATAACTCGCTTTAAAATTAAAATATAATAAAAGCACATGAGATTGCCTAGATAATAATCTTACCTTTAAATGTTATAAGAAGTCAATTCACTCAAATTTTTAAACTAAAAGTGTTCTGCTGAGCGTACAATTTGGTATGTTTAGCATTTGTAAGACGTTGACAACATATGCGGGTGAGGCGTCCTCTAAATGAACATTTGTTAATATTAAACATACTTGAACGTTATGTATTTTACGTCCTTTAGATGCTTCTTCTACTGCTTTTTGAAATTCCACTGCATAAGATGGTGTTGTTATTGGTGGTAAAGTAGTTGATATATCTTTTATTAAGGATTTACTTTCCTAAAATATAAAATGAAAACTATCAATACATTTTTATGATAATATGAAAATACTTATAATATAGTTATATAAAAAAAAATGTATTTATTATTCTAAACTAAATAATATAATACTTATAAAAACGATTGTATACTCTATAGCTGCGGTTCTCAGCCTTTTTATATCCAAGTACTGCCTACACAGTTTGAACATTTTCATGTAGGTACCACTTGACTAAATAACTTTTTTTTTTTGCTTATCAAAAATGTATAGGTGTGTTATTTTACATGTATAGAACTTTAAATAACGATAATACAAGAATTGAATGCATAAAAAGAAAATTAAATATGTAAAATTGTTATTTATATTATTATTATTAATATTAAATAAACCAAATAATAATTAATATGAATAATGATCAATTACCACCTATAAGCCTTCCGTATACCATATAATGTTGAGAAACGCTGCTCTATAGAGTAAGATGTATACTCTAAGGCAGTGTTTCTCAACCTTTTTACTGTGATGACCCCCCTTTTTAAATTTCAATTTTTTAGCGACCCCTACATATATATTTTTTACATACTTGTATGATTTAAATAATTTGATTGCGACCCTAAATAATAAGTTGGCGACCCCCAGGTTGAGAAACACTGCTTTAAGGAACATACTGAATGGAGTTTATAGTTTTGTGAATGTACATATTCCTATTGCACGACTACGATTGTTTTTACCTACATTTTTTCATGCAATGTCGACGGATTGTATTCTTACTGTATCATTATATCAAACCATTGGTAATCCAAGGTTTGATTTTAAAAATATTTCATCCTCATCCAGACTTATATATTACACAACTTAATTCACAGAAATTATTAAAAAAAAATTGATTATTAGTAATTTTTTACAATTGCATATTAATTTATAGGCAAAACAAATATTGAATAAACATGTCTAATTTTATGAAAATTATACCGGTAAATTCAAAATCTCTAACTATTACCAATAATTCTTTTGATAACCATCAATGGTACAAAGAGCTTTCATAGGACATCCAAATGCAATATTATAACGGTCAGATTTATAAGCAGCTTACTTCAACACATAAAATAATTTTGGTTTTAAAAGAAACTCAAGCTATAACTATAGTGAATTCTATCAAAACTAATTTGGTAACATCACTTAAAAAATATTCATAATCATTTTTTGGCTAAAAAACTAAACTTCTTTCTCAGCCAACAATTGTTTGCTATTGTATAAGAAAGAAGGTTAAAACGTTCACAATAGAGTTTCACCATAACATTAAGATTGTTATATATAATTTTAAATAAATGAGTACTTATGAAATTATAAGTTAATTAAAATATTCAAAATTAACAAATTAATAAAAAAAAAAAGGACACCTTTGATGAAGGAGAAGAACTTTCTGTAGATGAACTATTTGAAAGTTTAGGAACTCTTTGATCCAAATCTTCTGGTACACTATTATAAAGAGTAGACTCGGATGGCAAACTCAATACTAATTGACCAGTAACAGGTGATATATCAAAATCAACTGGTAATAATGAAGGATGTTCTTGAAGTTGACAACTCAATTCAGATACAGAATCCTAAAATAATAAATTATAATGATAAATTAATTAATCAGACATAGAGATTAATATTTTACCTGAACAGATGCAATAGTTTTTATAATTGGGTTTTGAAAAACTGAGATCAGGAGTTGAAGATCATTATTGGTATTTGCTTTTAATTTTTCATCACCTGATTCATTGACCAAAGATTTTATTTCGGTCAAAATAGATAATGCTGCAGACATATCTGTAAAATTAAAAAGTAATATACAATATTATACATTATAGAGATGTGTTGCTGAAAATATTTTAAAAAGGTTTATATTATTTAATATACATATTTTGTTTAATATTTCATAAATTATAATTTACAATCCATACTTGATTGCAAAATAAAAAATTATCTTAAACTGCATAATATATATTACCTGTATAAATAGACATTTTAATGAAATGATCAGGTTTTTTCTTGATAGTATATGTAATTTAAGTAATCCAATCCTGTAAACAAAACTTAATTTATTATTTTTGTCAAAATGGATAATAACTAAAAAAAAAATAATATCAAACTTTCAATTTCAAATATTATAATAATATGGCATGTATGATTTAAAAATATAGACTAATATAAATATTTTTAAAATAATTTTAAAATATTATCCAAAAGTTAACAAAAGTAGAAGTATATTTTAGTATAAAATATCTGTGTAACTACCTGTTAACTATTACTATCACCTGAATGTATTTTCTGTCTTACGAATTTGCAACATAGCAAATTTTTGTTTAAGGGGCAGTTCCAGTTACATTTGTTTTCTCTGTCTTACAAGTGCGTAACATAGCAAATTTTAAACTCAGCAAAACACGTTTATCTCCCGTTAGTTTAAAAATTAGAGCGAATTGACCTCTTATAAAATTTAAAGGTAAGATTATTATCTAGACAATTGCATAGGCTTTTTATTCTAATTTAATTTTAAAGCAAATTATGTGTATTTTAAAATTGTAATCTGTTTGTACATCTTAAAATACTCATAACTCGCTTTAAAATTAAAATATAATAAAAAGCATATGTCTTTGTCTAGATAATAATCATACCTTTAAATTTTATAAGAGGTCAATACGCTCTAATTTTTTAACTAACGGGAGATAAACGTGTTTTGCTGAGAGTAAAATTTGTTATGTTACGCACTTGTAAGATGGAGACAACAAATGTCACCGTAACGTCCCCTTAACACAAACAATGTTGATATATACCTAAGTGAATTGACATATCATTAAATTTAAAAGAAAGAACATTATCTGTATTTGTACATTGGTTTATTACAATATTTTAATTTTATCTTCTTATTTCATTCACAAATTGAAATATCGTAAAGAAAAGCATCATACAAACACACGGATAATTGTCTAACATTAAAATTGGATAATAGGTATCTAAATATTAAGGCTAACAAGTAACAACACAGTTTTTAAATTTTAACTACTCCATAAATTATTGAAATATGACAATTGTTTAGGTAAAACTCTTTTTAAATATAACGTTTTTATGAATTTGGGGTGTTAATATCAAATATACAGGAAATTTGATCTCAAATAGTTTTGACGACAAAAAATTTATATCTGATTTTAGAATTCTTATTGCTCCATTAGATCATTCGGTACGTTTGCAAAGAACTCGTCTAAAGTCATAAGTCACGCAAGTGTTAGACAAAGACAAAAAATTACTGAATCGAATCCCCTTAATAGATATTGTTGTACATTACACACTGTATTGAGGGATATATTCCATCCAGTTTGCTGTTCTATAGTTTTGGTATTTTTACTGAATACCTATTCTATAAAATAAAAAATTCACAATTTTTTACTTACCGACTAGTTTATTGATTAGTTATTTGGTAACAGCAGATTTAAAATGTGCATAAGAACATTTGTTTTTGATTGATTTGAATTAACCAAATGTGTTATTAGATGCAAACCAATCAAGTAGTGTTCAGTTATATTAACTTATATTCACATACAATTCAATGAATTGTATTACAATCTAAAACAGAACACACGTTTAATTTACTTAACGATGATACAATAGCAGAGGAAATCGGAAATTGGAATCAACAAATGTATTCAAATGACGACACTCACGAGACACGATTAGTAAATAATAATAGGTAAATAGGTAATTAAAAATTAATAAATATTATTGTTGTAGGAGTAGGACGTCCTTATCAGCTTGAGGGTTTTGTTATGATAAAACGAAGATGCACCAGTGCACCACAGACCGAGCGCAGAAGAATTTTCATGAATCAGTGTGGCCAAATTATGCTACAAGTTTTTCGAACGATTTTAATCATTCGATGGTTTTTTGTCACAGTTTCTATAATATTTGCTTAATATGTTATAAACTCTTAGAAATTCGATAAGTGCACGCCCGCACATCTTACCATCGTAGGCTCAAATTGGGGGGGTCAATTTTAAAATGTTATATTGCAATGGTCTGCTTTCCTTTAATATATTCAGTCAAAAGTTGAAATAGTCTACTGTTTTAGCCGTGGTAAGGCTTAACCCATAGATGGTAGATAATAATATATTATATGCAACTGTACAAGACAGATAAAACTCATGCCTCACGGTTTAAAATATGTGTGTGTACAGCATGAATTAAGATAATATACTGAAGTACAAGGCCGTATCTCAGGGAGGTCCAGGGGGACTGGACCACCCCCACTGAAAAAGAATTCATGATACGGCCTTGCTATTAAGTTTGCCTTAGTTCATATTTCGTGGTGTACAGTACCATAGACTATAGTGTACCACGTCGTGGTCGTCTTTGCAAATGTAGGTACTCCTCAGTGGCGGCTATCTCGAAAAATATAACAGGTAGTCATTTAAAAAGAATAAGTACCCCCCCCCCCTTGAACTCTTTTTATTAAATAAGATTTTTATACATCCACAATATTATTACCAAAAGATATTTGTTACTTATAACTCAGTGGCGTAGACAAGATGGTTGGGGGGGGGGGGGGGGGGTCAGATCCCCTCCTATTGGCTTTTTATTAGGTACCTACCTTACTAAAAAGTTTTGAGAAGATGGGGGATTTTCCAATTTTCCCCTCCTATGTCGTTATTTTTGATCCCCCCTTTCAGAAGTCATGTGTACGCCACTATTATAAATTATAATATTATATTAGTTATAATCTTATAATCTGGAGATCAAAAATGTTGTTTCATTGCTTGTAGATTTAAACCAAAATTTTTTTTATTTTACATTTTATTGTAATATTGCATGTATTTACTATTTACAGTTTTATGTATTTCTTATTGTCATTATTACGCATACAAATATTGAAATATATATATATTATAATAATTATTAACTAATCGTAAGTTGTCGACGAACTCGTGTTTGAAAATATCAAACATTTAAATATTTAATAGTAAATACCTAATTCTAATTGCGAAATGTTATATTATACAACTAGGTACCAACAGGGACGGACTGGGCTGAAGGGCAAGTGGGTGATCGCCCCCTGGGCTGTTATGATTGAGGGCCCTCACAGGTTTATTGGGCCAGTGGACCGTGATTATTTTGTCAGTAGGTACCTACTTTATGCAATCTATAAAACTGTAGCTTGGTACTAATCCCTTCTGTCTAAGCTATTGCCATTAAAAAATGTATATTTGTGTAATTTTTGGGCCTTTACCTATGATCACCAGGGTCGATTTTTTTACCCCAGTCCGCCCCTGGGTACCTACCTGTACCTATAACGTTTAGTGTACACAGGCCACAGCCAGGAAAAAATACGATTTTTGCTTTTAAATACCTATTTTTATATTTATTTTATAATATACTAGCTGATCCCGTGCACTTCGTTGTCCGTTAAATGTATCAACTCTATTATATGACTCAAACTTTGTTCAATTTGTTATTTAATATTCGGTGTATGGTGTTCAACATTTATTTTAACTTTTCCGTTGCCCCGAATAAAAATTCTGATTCGGAGAAGTATATTATCAAGTAGGCAATCTACCTCTAGTGCGGTAGATCGCGGACCCAATGCTGTTTTTTTTTTATTATTATTATTATTATTATTATTATGTAGGTTAAAATCCTATCATTGCTTGTAGATACATAATAATAATACAGAATACTGATTGAATATCTATATGAACAATAACAAATCGTCGATGTATATAATAAATGGTTTGTTTGTTCTCGTGGCAACGAATTAAAACGATTCACTATAATTCTGGATTTAAATTTCTAGAACGAATCATTTTATACGACGCATTCATGGCAACCATTTATAAACAAAAATGTCCATCTGAAATCTCAAAATTCCAGTTTGAGCACCTCCCGGGGTTGGTCCTCTCCCTTCTTAAATTAGCCTATCTTTGAAGTTGGACCAAATTACACACAGTGTAAAATTTTCATCAAGATCGGTCCAGTAGTTTCGGAGTTTATCCAGAACAAACACTCTTGAGTCTTGACACGAGATTTTTTTATATATAGATAGTAATAAAGATATATTAGGTATATTAAGATAGTTTTAAATTTAATTTTAGCATTAATAAATATAGGTGTACCTATGCATTTAATATAATTCCTACCTAATAATTTTATTTATTATAAAAACAAGCAAATTACTTACGGTGATCTATAAATCCATCATAAATCTATCTTATCTAGATTCTAGAACGCTACTCATTATATTTCATTTTAGATTCAAACTCTTAAAATTATATACACAGCCACACAGGTACGTTAATTCGTATAATATAAAAATATTAAATACCTTGTACCCAGGGCCGTTAACCCAGGTTGTTGTGGGGTTGAACAATGAACCCTCACCTCTTAGAACATGGAAAGGATGTAAAGTATGTATTTACATACATGATACATTTAAAACTAGGTACATAATAGTATATATCTACTAAAACTACTGTACGTATATACAAACATATTTTAAAGTATTTATTGTGTTCTATGGTGAATATAAATATATTATACGTTTTTAATAGATATCCATGTATAAATTAAAATCAAATACATTTTTCTGTAACTATACCTATATCTTTAAATAATATTACAAAACAGTGAGATCCCAAATTATTTCTTGAATCTCATGTAGCAGAATACTGTATATAACTACATGCGAGCATTGAGCACCACATATTCCTATGTATCGGTATTCTGCCGTCCTGGCTTTTCGTGTCATATAATATCACCCTCCCCCTAACCTTGTAAGTTGTATAATTGTTTCTTAAACATTTAAATCCATTTACATAATGAGTAAATTAATTTGTTTTGTTGATTGAAAGAATTTAGATAAAAAAAATATCGGTAGTTTTGTAAATTAATATTTTTGTTAAATGTAAAATAAATATTATATATATTATTTAGGTACCTATTATTAACCTATATGGCTATATGAGTATTGAGTATATATGAC